GGATTGTAACCATGGCAATGAAACGATATACGATAGGATGAATGTAAAACTAATGTTCTCCCATGTAAACTATCACATAATTCACAATAAAACATCAAAAAAAACCACCCGATCTTATGTAGCAGATTTGCCTAATGCAAAACAAAAACATCTTCCTCTCCTCATCACCAGTCACTGCCTTAAAAATTCTACTCTTAGAGCATCCTTCCAGAGTTTTCTAGGCAAAATGAGCTTGAAGTCAAGCCTTTTACAAGTAGAGGCCTGAGTTGAGATGAGTTTAAAACCTTGAATGACTCCTGGTTGATCTAGAATGAAACCTTGAGCAGGGTTTTCAGTCCACCTCAATCTGGGGCCAGCTTGCTTGTCAGTCTGACAAGCAGAATGTGGAGGACAGAGTGGCCTGGTGGTTTGAGTTTGGGCTCCTGAGCCAGATTATATAGGCTTGAGCTCTTCTCTGCCCTTCAAGCAGTGTGCCCTTGAAGAAATGATTTATCGTCTGGGCATCTTGTATCTGTAAAATGGAAGTAACCATGGTGCCCACCTCACCTCACAGCGTTGTTGTGACAACAGTTAGACGAGATCTTGAAGGGAAGATGCTTAGTGCAAATGCTCGACAGATATTGCTACTCTTACCGTTGGTCCCTCTGCTCTTGTTGCTCTGGGCTGCTTGTCAGCCTTACTGTGCACACTGAACCCGTGGCACCTTGCCCAGCGTCTACCATCCTCCTGCAGTATCTTTACTCTGTGCTCCCTGCCAAGTGACTCCTTGTGGTTCAAGGTCGTTTGTTTATCTATCCATTGAAGGTGGGGCATTGGCAAATGGGTGTCCTGGCAAAATCCCACCTCTTGTGTGAAGACTTCCCTGGCTCTCTCTCCTTTGGGCTCTGCAGAAGTTTGCTTCTTCTACGTGTGCAACTTGTGGTGTGATTAGATGTGGATGGCAATTCTGCTGCAGGACATTAACACTTTACAGATGTGAGCAGGATTACCTTTGTACCCCTATATCCGTATGTGCTCAGAACGGTGTCTGGCATATAACAGATGCCTAGTTAAGCTAAGGGCTGAGGCCTGACAACCTCTTGCTCCATTTTCTTCGATCTGCATGGAACTGGCCCTGGTCATCGGCCCCTTAATGTAGATCTGGTGCCAGTTGCCCAGCTCGGAGCTGAAGCTGTCTCCTTCTCAGTCAGATGACCTGGCCTGGAGCAGGACTTTGCTAACTGAATGTCACAGGAGATAAGCAAAGAAACCTCTGCAGATGCCCTTGCCACCCAGAAACATTTCTGCCACATGATTGAGCAAAGAGCAGACTGCTTTAATGCTGGAGTCAGGGGCCAGACCACGAGTGAGGAGGAGCAGTTAAGTTGGACGGACCCCAGGCCAAGAAGATGGGATTGGCACAGTGCATGACTTTGTGTCTTGCCAAGACTATTGGCCTCCTCCTTCCAACAGCAAGAGATTCACCCCCAAATTAAAACTAAATAAATCACTGTAATAACAGTGTGAAGTGCATAGTTGCTGGCATGTGGCAGCTCAGTGGGGGTGGATGCGAGGGGTTGGGAGGCAGCAGGAGTTTAACCCTTGGAGACCGATTTGTCTCTGGAGGGAGGTGGGGAGGCAAGAGCAGGTCAGTGGCTTCCTCCCTTCTGGGGAAGAGCAAGATGGAATGTTCCGGATGTCATTAGTCAGAGTGGGCCACTCAGCTGGCTGAAGGTTGTTTGGGTTGGCCTCTTCTCCACCCCTCTGCCACGTGGTCCTGAGCCCCACCGTGTACCTCGTGCTCTTTGAGGCTGGTGTCAAGGTCATGGTTGTGAGGGGGTGTCTCTCACAGCTGGGGAGCTCAGCAACCTCTGGTTTCTTACCACAGCCCCCACAGGCACACAGTCTCCTGGGAAGACAGCATTTGTTCCCTGCTGACACACTTTCTCAGTCTGTGGGTGGAGGGAGGGGAAAGGGGCTGTGTGGGAAGTGGGGTAGGTGAGTGAGGGGGCGTGAGGGCGGGGAAAGTCACTCACTCTGCATTTCCCTCCTCCTCCAGCCCCTCCCATGACATTTCCAAGGGAGCAGCTCTCACCCACAGAACATGTTTGAGCCGGGCTGTTAATCTTGAGTTCTATAGTAGCCTAGAACCTTCCAGGGACAGCTCTGTCTTATCCCTGGAGTCCACAGTGTGGTTGAGTCTGCCGTATATCACCTCCTTCTTTTGAGGTCCCAGCTCTTGAGTAGGCTCTGTGGTTATCAGGAGCTCAAAGACTGTGGAACTTCTCCGAAATTAAGTCTCTCTATGCCTAATGGAGACCCCTGCCTTAAGTAGAGGCCTCTGTTATTGTTGTTGTTAAGTGTTGTTGAGTCAGTTCAATTGATAGCGACTGTGTATAGGGTTTCCAAGGAGTGACTGGTGGGTTTGAACTTCTGACCTTGTGATCAGCAGCCCAGTGCTTATCCTATAGCACCACACCAGGTCTTCAGTAGAGGCCTTATTATTGTTGTTAAGTGCCATCGAGTTGGTTCTGACTCATAGTGACATTGTATAGGGTTTCTGACGAGCAGCTGGTGGATTTGAACTGCTGACTTTGTGATTTGCAGTCCAGTGCTGATTCTACAGTGCTACACCAGGAGTCCAGTAGTGGCCATGGAGAATCATTATCTTAGGCCAATCCCTGTGCAAGGTGCATGGGGCTGGCCCTGAGGTTTCTATCCCCAGAATGGGGTTAGAGGGTGTGGTGGAGACTCTAGCAATTGTGTCTCCAGGCTTTATTGACATTAGATTCTGGATCAAACCAAGCCCTGGGTAGCATCCTGCCCATCAGTGTCCAGAAGGGAAGTGAGGGCAGGCGTGATGCTCATGGGGGATAGGCTTAGCAGCTCTGTGCCGGGGCTCACAGCTAAGGGGCAGGGGCAGTGCTTTGTCCCTTACGTAGACAGCTTCTGCTTGGTAGAGATCCTTCTAGAAAGCAGCCTTCAGAGTATATGTATGTGTGTGTATGTCTGTCATGGCTGTTGTTGTTAAGTGCCGTGGAGTCGGTTCCGACCCATTGAGACCCTGTCTAGGGTTTCCGAGGCTGTAAATCTTTACGGGAGCAGAGAGCCTAGTCTTTCTCCCATGGAACCACTGATAGTATCGAACTGCTGACCTTGAGGTTAGCAGACTAACTCATAACCTTTATGCTACCAGAGCTCCTTGTCTGTCATGGTAGTCTCTCAGTATTACCAGAAAGAAACTTACTTTATTTTTCTCTCTCTTATTTTGAATGTTAGGCATAAATTCTGAGGGACTGGTTTAGGGAAGCAATCAGGACACAAACTCTAGGAGATAGGGCCATTTCTGCTGCTTCAAAAGTGGCCTCCGACTCCAGTAGGTTGAGGGTGGTCTCAGCTTGGTTCCCTGACTGCCCTTGGGCCTATGGGTCCAAGTGCAGTGCTGACCTTGGCCAGCAGATGGCGTCTGAGCTTGAGAGTCTAGAGAGGTGTAGGAGACCTTGTCCAACCCTGCAAAGGAGAGCTCTGACCAGGTGGTTATTTGTCCTCCCATACTGATCCATGCTGCAGAAGGAGAATGAGCTGATGCCTGTGCATCCAAACCATGTGACTGTTGACCAGTTTGACCCCCATGAGCTTTGGGTTCTATCTGGAAGGATGTCGTGGCATGGTTCTTCCCACTGATGCTGGCAACCCCATCCTCATCTGGAGTAGGGATCCTCTGAGGCCCCCTCTAGGCCCTAC